CTGTCACCTCTTTCGGCAGATCTCCTAGCTCGGCGACTTGGGGGACTCCTACTATAGGGTTTGTATCACACTTGACTAAGCCCGAAACTACTACAACTAAGCTTCAAGTGAAATTGATACATTACCTTGTGCGTCAACATCAGCTAAATACACCATTCCCGGATGGAGGAAAGGTACTTCCAGAGAAGGGCAGATGAAGATCAGACCACACTTCGGTACTTAGAAGTTTCGTGATTACTCAAGGGATTGGATCTTGCAAGTCCCCAACCGAGGAGTTTCCCTCACTCGGGAACTTAGGGGAGCACTGTTTGTACCATACTTGACCAATCCCGAAACTACCGAGCACCGGCCAACGCTATACTGTCAAGGACCCAGAAGAGTTCCCCTCCGACCAGGAGGCCAATCACTACTCGACACGTGTCAAGATTAGAAGCCAATCAGAGCGCAGCACGTGTCGACATCAAGAACCAATCATAACATGACACATGTCAATGTGACAAAGCTACAAGTTTTTCTATAAATAGGGGTCATTCCCCCACAATATGGCCTAATGCCATTGTGTTAAATCATTCACAAGAACTCACTAAATTGAGAGTTTGATCCTTTGTACTTGTGTAAGCCCTTCACTACTAATAAGAACTCCTCTACTCCGTGGACGTAGCCAATCTGGGTGAACCACATACATCCTGTGTTTGCTTCTCTGTCTCTATTCATTTACGTACTTATCCTCACTAGTGACCGAAGCAACCAAGCGAAGGTCACAAAACCTGACACTTTCTGTTGTACCAAAAGTCTTCGCTGATTTTGTGCATCAACAACTGGGTTTGGATTTTGACGATGCTTCTGATTCTTCATCATCATCTCAGCTGGTAGTTGATGGGTATGTAAAATTTTGAATTTTGGGATCAAAGAATTCAACTCTTAGGAATTTTGGGAATAAACAATTCTTTTGAATTCTTTTAAAATGTGTATTTTGATGATTTTTGTTGTAAAGAAATAGATGGAATATCTCTACAAATTTCTACACAGCTGGTGTTTCGTTATGGATGGCTCATCTCCATGATGAATTTTTTATAGAGTCCCTCCCAATGGATGAGCAGTTGGCTGCCTTGATCTTGGTTTTCGACACAACTGAGGTTTTGGTCTCTTGCCACTCACTCTTTGTCACTTTGTTTACTTATTTAGCATGATTTTCAATGTGTCTTATATCAATTTGCTCGCGTTATGCTGCAGTTGTCGTCTCTGTCTGCCCTTCTTTCTGACTTGTATTTTATGGCAACTTTCATACGGAAGTGAAAAATGAAAAGTACCCCTGCTCAAATGTAGAAACTTTGTGCAACTAGGATGATTGAAGATAGTTCGTCATTCGGAATTTGATAAAATTTTACCTGTTGGGACAATTGAAGTTGTAGCGAACGTTATTTCAGGGTCCATTCGTAAGTTCATAGTCAATGTAAAGGATGACCACAATCAACAAATTTTAAGGACATGCCGTAGGAATATGAATCTTTGTATGCTGGAGAAGTCTAGGGAGAAGTAGGACTTTCACATCGTGTATGCCTGAGTAAGACATGGCAGAGTATTACTTAAGTTCATGTGTCGGTTTCAATGTTAGAAAAGAGTTGGTTAGCCTGAGAAAATGAATAAAAGTGATACCATGATAAATGAGCATGTCGACCTACACAGTACACAAATTTCATGCTTTGTTGGATATCGTTTAAGTTAAAGGTACTGTTTTACAGGTTTGTCAATTGATGGCGACTTACAAGGTATTGAAGGAAGAAAATTAAAGGCATTATGGTGTAGTTACCCAAACCAGATGTGATTCCCTTGAATGCAAAAAGCTTTTCCGAGATGATAAATTTTGAAATTTTTATAAGCCATAATGCACTATTTTCTAGATGCTTTAATTATTTGCCCAACGATTTGAGGTGGTTTGATTTGGGTGGAGATGTGTTTCAAAATCAGGGATCCAATATTCTTCAAGAGCATATGGCTATGTTCAATTTGCAGTATCTTCCAAGGCATCTTGTCACATTTATTATGTCAAACAGCGGCATCAAACAATTGAAGGGATTTAAGGTGCGAATACATATTTTAAATTAATTTGGACGATTACTAATTTAAATGTATCTTTTATTTTTGGAAAAAGAATTTTTTTGCGAAGTTTTTCATTATTAATGATTATATTTAAAGTATGTGACTATTTGTTTTTGTTTTTTATTTTTTATTTTGGTTTCATAGAATTTGGCAAAGCTTACATCTATGAATTTAATTTATTGCGAATTTTTTGAAATCCCCGACTTATCTGGAAGCCCAAACATAAAGTGCTTGGATCTACGTTGCTGCACAAGTTTGGTTGAGGTGAATGATTCTATTGGATTCCTTGATAAACTTGTTGATTTAGATCTTGGGGGGTGTTCTAGTCTTGCGAGATTTGCAACAAGACTTAGATTGAGATCCCTTGAACGGCTTTGTTTGGTCGTTGCACAAGGCTCGAGAGTTTCCCAAAAATAGAAGACGAGATGGAATCTCTAACGTACTTGGATATAGATGAAAGTGGCATAAGAGAGTTGCCTTGATCGTTTGCATATCTTACTAGGCTTGAAGAATTGACAGTATATGGTTGTAAGAACCTTACAGGTACATCATTACATCATATTTATAGGTTGCAACATCTCATTCAGGTTGAATTCCGTGAATGCCCAAAACTGGTGACATTTGGGAAGAATAAGGTGACGTTTGATGAAGTTTCATCCAGCAGTACCGAATCTCAACTGCTTTCAACTGACTGAGAGACTTCACAGGACAACTGTAACACATTTGCTCTTCCCAACCTAGATTACCTTTATCTTAAAGGATGCAATTTATCAGAAAGTGTTTTCCTTATGCCCCTTGATTGCTGGTCCACATTAACAGAACTTGATCTGTCCAGAAACAATTTTGTTAGTCTTCCGGATTGCATTAGCAAATTTGTCAACTTATGGGGACTTACATTGAGCGGTTGCAAGAGGCTTCGGGAAATTCCACAAGCCCTTCCACCAAAACTACATTATTTAGAGCTGGATGATTGCACATCATTGGAGAAAATTCCAAAATTGCCCCCGACGCTAAATCTTATGTACATGCGTAACTGCTTTAAACTAAGTGGTGATGGGGTGGCAAAGTTAGAAGACAATCTGTTGAACTTGAATCAGGTTCCTCTCTCCTCTCTTAATTTCTCTTGAAATTAAAATATATAATTTGTTGATACTTGGGAGAGAGATCAAATCACGATTGCTTGTAATTAGTTATCTACATATTATTGTTTGTAGGATAAACATCCAACAACCATGCCAGAATATGAATGGAGAACTGCAGGAAAATTTGCTGGAGGCATTGAAATTAGTTGTGAAATTCCTCTAAATTTACAAGTGGGGGAGATGTTATTAGGATTGGCTCTATCTTGTGTTTTTAAACCACGGACTTTTTATGATGGTTGTTCATGTGGGGCTCAACTCAGTGGCTTTAGAAAAGAAGCAGGGAGATAATTGTAAAGTTAAATTTCAATTCCCTAAGGGCGCACGCATTAAAAGCTAAGGGTTGCACCCTTTATTGCGCAAAGAAGATGAATGGCTTCACTTGTTCTTTAGGACAAACGAGTAGTCTTGGGAAGAGGCCTCATCCACTTGGATCCTCATATACCGTCGATGATGAATACGATCGTCAACGACAATGGCTTTCCTTATCTTTGGACCCACCAGATGATCGTCCAAAACGCAGGCAGATTGATCTCAAGGAACATTGAGGAGGAGCAACAGCAACCGTTCACTTCAGACGATCCACAATTTCTGATATATATATAATTGTGATATCTTTTGTAGATTAATATAATAAAATTATTTAATTTAAATTTTTGAACAAATAATTAATTTAAATGAAATACATGAAAAAACCACGGGAAATTTTATTTAAACCCATGCAACCTTTTTTGACACCCAACTTAAAATTTTGAATATTAATTATGTATTTTATCGTATTGCATAATTATTATTAAGTACAAAATGAAATTAATAATAAAACTCAAATTTATCAATAAACCCTCTCTCTCTCTCCTCTCTCTCTCTAGGATCACGATTCACAATCTCACTCTGTTCTTCAGCAGTCTTATTAAACCCTACAATTCTTTTCCTGTTCTGGTTTCTATTTAGCTGAAATCTCAATAGGGTTTTCTTAGGGCTGGTTTGGTATTGCTGTGCTTTGAAAAAAAGCTGCTGTGAGAATAAGCGGCTGTGCTGTGAGAATAAGCAGCTGTGAAATAAAGCCAGTAGAGTGTTTGGTAAACTTTTTTGTGAAAGTGCTTTTGGAAAAAAAATCAGGATGATAGTGTGTCTTTTCATTAAAGGAGCACTGTATCTCCGTGTGCTTTGAAAAAACTGGCTTTTTTTCAAAGCAGCAAATAGCAGCTTCAGCTTTTCCTTTGATTTTCAGCTTATTCTCACAGCAGCTTCCAAAATAAGCCTTTTTTTTTTCAGTTTACCAAACACAAAAATGACCATCAGCTTTTTTTCACAGTGGCTTTTTTTAAAATCACCTCAATCCCAAACGGAGCCTTAGACCAGGATTTGGATCAACTTTTGACTCTTGTAAAATTCGGGTTTCTTTTCCTCCTCCTTGCAGATAGATATGAAAGCTGAGAGAGAAGCTTTTATTTTACAGGTTGGGGTTCGTAAATGATTGTGTTTACTTTTGACTGTAACTGACCGTCCATATTATTTCTTCTGATTCGGGTCAGGTTGATTTTCGCAGTCTGAGGGCTATTGCTATTGAGTTCCTTAACTTGGCTACAGTCATTTTTGGCTGTCAGTCCTGTGCAGGTTCAGAGTCCTGGGACTCCACCGGTACAAGCAGGTATTCGTTTTGTTTTTTTTTTTTACCAATAATATGTATTATTTTGGGATAATAAATCTTGTTTTGATAGTTGAAAGCGTATTCTTAATGTTTTGTTTGTGTTATTTTGCTGACCCACCATTGTCATGGAGTTAGTTTTTGGCGGCACCATTTTTTCTCTCCTCCCCGATGATAGAGTTCCTAATCGTTTAACAATGTTGCAGAAAACCCTATTTTCAGCCATGGAATCGGTCATCAGCATGATGAGAGAAGTGGAGGTCCAGGAGAAAGCAGTGGATATTGTTCAAGAGGAAGCTTCTAGGGGAGGTTTGGATATCATGGTCAAGGTGGAGGAGCTTAAACAGATGTTGGCACATGCAAAAGACGCAAATGACATGGTTGTATTTTGTGAAATGTGATTAAAGTTTGAAGTTAATGGATTCTGAGTTCTGCTAATTTTAATTAAGGGTGCATCATAACTGAGATTATATTCTTTCTGTGCAGCATGCTGGAGAAGTCTTTGGGGAGAAAGCAATTTTAGCAACTGAAGCGAGGGAGCTTCAGTCTCGATTGCTCAACTTATCAGATGGGAGAGATAAATCACTTGTGATTCTTAATGAGGTTGACTCCACTTCATTGAGTTGCTTATTGCACTGCATTACAGTTGGTGCATGCTCTATTTCACTAATTTATCCATTTATCTTTAGATTGCCTCATTTTTATGCTGTCTTTTTCATATCGTATTCTTCAAAAACAACAATTGTATGATCTGTTTTATTATATTTATGTATCAAACAATATCATCACAAAAGATGTTAATTATTTGCACAGTACAAAAATACTTACTGTGCAATTAATTGTCTGTTAAGTATTTGCACAGTAAGTATTTTTATGCTGTCTTCTCCTCCTCTGCTGCTTATGAGCTTCTACGAGAAAATAAAGTGGCCGAGGAGGAGTTCGCAGGTCTATTTAGCTTCTAAAAACCAAATGGGTGTAAAAATAAATCCACATATTGAATTGGATTTATGGGGGTATATTATGTATTAAATTTGGGTTTAAAAAGATATTAATAATTTAGTTAAAAATCAAATGGGTGAAAAGAGTAAGTTGGGTGTAGAAATAGGTTAGATGGGTTTAAATAAAATTTCCCAAAAACCACATCAAGTGGCTTGGTAAGGGTGCGGAGTGTGTCTCCCTAATAAACAAAAAAATTGTGGGAGGTCCTGTATTCAATGTTCCGAGCTGGTGAGTTTGCTTGACTGTGGCCTCGGGGTAAGATGAAATTCCCCATAGCCTCTCTGGGCCCGGAAGAGGTGAATAACTGTGATTTTCCACGAGTTGTCTCATTTTTAAGAAAAATAATTAACTGCATGAAAAAATAATAGATGAAATTTTTGGTTTGGTGTTGTTTAATAAGATTTAGTAGGATTTTAATATCAAAAGATATAACAATATAGAAAACATGGCCGTTGAATAAATTTGATTGATCTCTACCCTCATAATCTCACAAGTCTCTATTCCTATATATTACTTCCTTGCAAATTCTGGGATGGAGTTTGGGTCAAAATTGCAGCCTAATGTGTCTTGATACATTTTTGGTTTTGCAAAAATTATGTCTCCTGCCTTTTGCCTTTTATGGGTCCTTTATTTGTTCACGACTAAGGTAACGTGGGAAGTTGAAGCACGTAGGATTTCATGTCATATGATCACGTTTAAATGTTATGTGATGTTATTGCCACACAGAGTATAAAGGATTATGCAGCAGCGGAGAAGAACATGAAGGTTTGTGCTTGAATCCTTCGATAGGTTTGAGTCATTGAATTATATATGATTACAATAGCTTGATTTACAAGTATCTTTGCTATAGAAATGTAGAGCGATAGTGTTAGTACTTTGTTTTTACTCGAGCATTCTCGAATGGGGTTTGAGAAAACACATGCGCTTGAACTTTGGCTTTGAGGTATTCAGGATTCAGCCAAGTACTTGTTTTTTTAACGTAAATGACAAAAATATGTTGTAAGTGAATAGTACCATGATTGACTTTTTAGAGTAAAAATTTGATTTTTTGTTAAAATAAACAGTACCGGAAGCTTTTCATTAAATTTTTTTTTTTAAGGGAGATACACAAATAAGTTACCGCGTAGGAGATCTAGTTTTTTGGGCTGATATGGGCTGGTCGGGCCTTATTCTCCAACGTACCCAGCCCAAAGCAGTGCAGAAATCAACCGCGTACCCTCTCTTCCACAACGACTTGTCGTTTCTATTAGTCGTGTTGGCTGATCCGGGGGGTCAAAATTCGGTGCTTTTCTCGAAAGTGCTTTTGGTTGATGCCGCTGCTATTTCCGGTGCGGGGTGTGGGCAAAAGCACGTTAGTAATGAGACTGTTTGAAACCCTAAAAGCATCAAATCCCAGCTTAAAGATTCGGGGCTTCTACACTAGTAATTGATTCCCTCTCTCTCTTTTTTTTCATTTTTGAATTTTTCATATATTTTTACAGATTTTTTGTGAATTTTTTGTTTTGTTTGTATGACTGTAATTTTGTAGGTGAGGTTAGAGAAAGAAGTGAGAGAGTAGGGTTCCAGGTTGTCATATTACATCCCCCCTCTCCTCCTCCACCATTTCCAGCCTTCAGGGTATCCCTTTTCATCCAATCTTAACGTTTGTTCGTTGCTTTATTTTTCATAACTCCATTTCGCAGTAAAAAAACACTTAAAACACCGTTTTGAAGATGAAAATCCATAGACCTAACTGTTATTGCACCGGACATTACCAGTTGATTGTCAAGCACTTTTTGTTTTTTCATAGTTTGATTCTTAAAGTGTTTTTCGTTAATATCAACAATTTTCGTGGGTCTACATAGCATTCAACCCTAAAGCATGTTTTTGTATGTCAGCCCATAGTCCTTGAGATGGCCCACAGTAGGGAAGTATAAAGTAGATGTTGAATCGTTTGAGTCATTGGCACTGCCTGAATTGCAGGTGGGATGATTTTTTTCATCGCTTACTGATCAAGTCTTGCCACCCTCTGCACAATTTAGTTAAATTTTAGGCCTTCACGTTTGCGGAACTTTGTGGAACTTTTTTCTTGTGATGTGTAATCAAGTAAGAGAAGATGCTGATGTATTCATCGATGGTGAAGTTGGGAAGATGGAGTTGTTCAGTTCATCGTTCTTCTCTGCTGTTTTAAACATTCTGGAATCCACAGTCCTGTTTTTGGCCTCAGTTCCATTTCTAAAATTCGGACTCAATATACCTGCAGTTACATTCTCCTCAAACATTTCATTATTTCCCACTATAATCTTTTGATAGCTTGCCTTGTTTCACAACTATATATTTGATATAATTTTGGTTTATGTTCTAACAGTTTTAGAATCACATTGATATATATGATTTTCGCATACTGTATATTTTTTACTTATTGCTCATTGTATGGAGTTGGAGTCGATGACTGAACCAGATGAGGAGTATGGGCTCTGATGAAGTTGCTGTAAGCTTCATGTCGTCCTGTTTCTTGCACTGAATTTGTACGTGACTAGGGTTTCTGAACTTCTGCAGTTGCAAGGTTGAAGAATCATTGGGGTGCAACAATGTTTACGCTGTGCCAAAGTAACAGAGATTTTGTAAAAGAAGAGATGTACTCCCAGTTGGTAGCTTTATAGAGTAAACAATAGGTGTTGGACGATCTCTGTGTCATCCTCAATTGTAAGACTTGAAGGAGCTCAATTGTACTCAACCGGCTTCGGATAGGCGTTTTCAAAAATAAATACTAAATACTGTATTTCTTCTTTCTGAATTTCAGCATGATGTTCTTATTTTGCAAACATCTAATAGAAGATGGAACTCCAGGAGAAGTTAGACGTGAATAAAGAGGCACAAACCGTGGTTTACATACAAGTTATTGTCGGTTTAGTGTCCCTCAAGAGACATCCATGCAAAAGATGCATTAATATGTGTCTTACACTTGACCAATATCTGTATCCCATTTTTGTTTCGTCTACATGACAAACCATTTCATTTGTTTCAGTACTTTACCTGTAGATTAGAAAGTTTAACTTATCAAGTAACAAATAAGAACCTAACTTCTTGTTTTGTGGAAAATCTTAATGTTACAAGGGAAATTTATTGATCAAAATGACAAAATGACATCTAGTCTTGGGGACATAAACCTCATTCCTCAAATTCAAGCGAAAAAGAAATACAAGAAAAAAAAAGGGACAAAAACCTTACCCTGAAACATGAAAATATTACAAGAAAAGAAAGGGATATAAACCTTATCCTCCTTGAAGCAGAAAAACATTACAAGAAAGGAGGAACATAGGATCTAACCCATCTAAAATAAAATAAAAAATGTAAGAACCTAAAATAATTGTCAATATAGTTTTGTGTTTCATTTTTTTCTATTTAGATCTCTTGCAAGGGAGCAGCCTCTCCATAAATTAGGGTAAGGCTAGCCGACATTCACCTCTCCCAGACCCTGCGTAAAGCAGGAGTCTTGTGCACTGGGTACGACCTTTTAGATCTCTTGCAAGGGACACATACTTGACTTCAGTAATTGCTAGTGCATTTTGGATAGAAATATATAAAAATATTCAAGTACAGTTTTTGTTAATATCGTGTAATATTGCTGTCTATTGTGTCTTCACATTCTTTTCCACATTTCTCTGAAATATAGCAAAGGAAAAAATCACTAATTAAATGTGTGATTTGTTTTTAATTGCTAACTATGAAGCTACAATAATCAGCAACATTGTTGAGGATTTCTTAGTCAAGGCACTACAACGCACGGATTTGGATGTCGCCAAATACCCGTTGGAATACAATGGCAAAGACTAAGACTATGGTGGGGTCAAAAAGAAAAAAGTATCTATGTCGTATATGGGATCGTGGCGATTTTATAATATTATCACCCAATCTCAATCATTTTAACTTTGCTACGTGTCATGCCGTGTTTGCTGTGCCATACAATAACAGGGAAATGGATCCTCTCCAGATCCATTACGTGGAGAGATCCTCGCATCTCAAACGTTCATCGTGTATCGTACGGTCAGAAATTATTTGATTTTATTATTTAAAATTAAACATAAATATTATCTGATAAAAACTGATTATATGATATACAATGAACAACTGAGATATGAAAATCCCTAAGATCTCCATATAAGGATCGGAGAGGATCCATTTCCCAATAACAGTATATTTGTTGCATTAAAGTTCATTTTATTGTCGGTGTCGTAAGGTGAAAGAAAGCGTGTCAGCACCACTAGGAAAATCACCGTTTGATGAATGGAAGTTCCAAGGAAAATCACCCATTGAACTAGAGAAACTTAGCAGCTTATGGTTTCATGAAGATGAGTAACGTACTCAAGTAAATAAAATAGTTTTTTTTTTTTATATATTTGATGGCATGCAAACGATGCCATTGCGGTTGGATGAGGATCATTTTCGGGTCCTATCCTTACATTTTATCTCTTCATCGTACATTATATGATTAGTTTTAGTTAGTTATTGATTAGTGTTTAATCTTAAAGAAAAAAATTTATAATGATTTTTAGCCTCACGATGTATGATAAACGAATAGAATGTGAGAATATGAAGAAAGAATTCAAATGGAATTCAAATCCATTGCATTAATCTGATTTCCTGCATATTTGTGGTGCTAATTAATAATTTTTATGTGAAAGGAATTGCATTTCGTCCAAACGCTCTGCTTGATGTATTTATCTTTATTTTTCTCATAGAAAAGAGAAAGAGAAAGAAAAAGTCTTTGTCCAAGAGAATCACTTTATCATGTAGCCGAAAGAAAACGAGGAATAATTATAGCTGATCTGTACCCGACTAATAATATGTGAGAGCAAGTTCACCGGGAACAAAATGTCCCAACCCTCAGTTCAAAAAACAAGCTAGCCCTCAGTGAATTTGCTCCAGCCCATAAAGTTGCCTGGCACCCAGCCCATGTCAGGCAACAGACCAGCCCAATTTTGACAGACCAAGGAGCCGGCCTATTTGGCTGGCGCGTGCAAGACAATCGCGCGTGGGCACGAGTAGCCGACAAGGCTGCAGAGGGCTGTCAGCCCACTTGTGCTCCGGAGCCCATCAGCGATGTGGCGTGCTTATAGCTGTTGGATTTCCAACGGCTAGTTTTTCTAGACCGTTGGATTTCCAACGGTAAAAAAAATTTAAATTTTACTTTTAAACTGGACCGTCCGATCATAGATCAACGGTCTACGCTTTTTTCCCCAAAAATAAATAAAAAATTAAAAAAAAAAGGCCCAACAGTAAGATTTATTACAGTTGGCCACGTGGCAGCTCCTTGGCTCTTGGATTTGAATATTTTTCAAATCCAACGGTCCAGATTAATTAACTATATTAAAATTTATTAAAAATTATAAAAAATATAGAAATATTATTAAAAAATACAGAAATATTTTTTTTTAAATACAGAAAAATTTTAAAATGTTATTTTTTTTTCTATAAATACCTAACTCTCATCTTCCACCTTTACACCACATTTCAATATTTTCTACACTTTCTATACTATCTACATTTCAATATTTTCTACACTTTAAGAGAAAAAAATGTCTTCGTGGAAGCTCATTGAAGATGTAACGTTGTGTGAATGTTGGGTTCACACTACTCATGACCCGATTACGGGTAATGAGATGGATAAGCGAGAAATGTTGAGTAAAATTACGAAAGCGCTTTGCGATGTACATGGAAAAGACGCCAGAATTAGTCAAGGTCTTCAAGGTAGTTGGAAAAAACTCAACGCATCCTTTACTTGTTGGAAAAACGTCATCTCTCATGCTTCCGGTAACCTCCGTAGTGGGACAAGTTTAGCGGATCAGGTGACAATATTTTTATTTATTTATACGCATTCCACCCACATCAATATTTTGATTTAGTTAATTTCGTATGTAATTTTTATGTTATTTCTTATGTAATTTTTATATGCATTCCACCCGCATCAAAAATTTAATTTATTTAATTTCTTATGTAATTTTTATTTAATTTCTTATGTCATTTTTATGTAATTTATATGCATTCCACCCGTATCAATATATTGAATTTATTTAATTTCTTATGTCATTTTTATGTAATTTATATGCATTCCACCCCTATCAATATTTTGAATTTATTTATTTGTGTTACACCCGCATTTTTTAACACTATCTTATCCCACATTTTTATAGACACTACAAGTTCAAGCATTCTACAATTCAAAGAACCAGAACAAATCATTCACCAGATGGGAATGTTGGCAAATTGTCAAAGATTGCCCTAAATACAAAATTGTGGCAACCGGTCCAGAAGTTGTTATGCACAGTATGGGTCTACATAGTTATCCAGCTGCAGCCCTAAAAATCATGTTGTGGAGAATAATACACGTTATCATGATGGATCGAAGAGCCTTGACATCAAACATTCTAGCTGTAGCCCTAACAATCGCCCAACGAGCTTGCACGATACCAAAACAACGCTCAACATCCTTCCTACACCCTTCTTGACATTTTGCGAAGTGTTTTTCTTTTTCAGTCTGTGGATGTGGCACTGTTTTGACAAATGTTGACCACCTTGGGTAAATGTCATCTGCAAGGTAGTATGATCCCTCGTATTGGGTACCATTAACCCAATATGTGCATCTCGGCGATTTTCCTTGCAACTGATTGTCGAACATTGGGGATTAGGCAATGACATTTAGGTCATTCTGAGCTCCTGGAACACCAAAAAAAGCATGCCAAATCCATGTATCAAATGAAGCCACCACTTCCAAAATAATGCTTTTGGCTCATTTTCTGTCGCCATATGCTCCTTGCCACGCACTTGGCCAATTTTTCCAAGTCCAGTGCATGCAGTCGATGCTTCCAATCATGCCAGGAAAGCCTCGCATCTCACCCTTCCTCAGAAGCCTTCGCATGTCCCTTGGCATGGGTGTCAAGAGGTACTCATTGGTGTAGAGGGCTTCAATTGCAGAGCAAAACCGCATCAGGGACTCCAGAACAGTTGTTTTTCCCATCCTAGCGATCTCGTCCACTTGATCTGCAGATGCTCCATATGCAAGCATTCGCAAGGATGCTGTAATTTTTTGCTCGGGAATAAGACCTAGAACATGAAAAGCATTCTCTTTTTGCACAAAGTATGGATCATGGTTGCAAATATCACTCATGATTTTGTCGAACAAATTTCGTTGCATTCTAAAATGACGTCTAAAAATATGATCAGGGAATATGCTATTGGGAATAAAATAATCTTCCAATAGATCTTTACCTCGTTTTTCCCTTTTTCTATCGAGGTTTGCAGCACGTCTTGGTTTGACAATATGACCCACAACTTTCATGACACGGCGGGAATGTGAGGCCTTCTGCCTTCTATGGTGATCATCCTCATCCTCCTCCATGAAGAAAGCCTCATCTCCACCTCCACCTTCCTCGAGATTGACCAATTCTGTCTGTTGTGCCAACAACCTTTTTTGTTGCTCCTGCAACTATTTATACACTCTAACATTTTAACGGGTCAAGTTGTGTTTGGTGTGACATACTTTAACAGTGCATCGTGGCGTGAAAGTGTTTTTTTTTTGGGTGTCGTGAGGTGTGAAAGAAAGCGTGTCAGCAACACTATGGTAAATCTCCGTTTGATGGAAGGTAGCTTTCCTTTAACTTTATCACATTCACATTGAAGGTGGTAGAGGTGGTAGGAAGCTGAGGAAGGAAAACATGCAAAAGGCCTGAACAGTAAACAATAATGTTATGCCTTTTGGTGCACGTTGGATGTCTATTGATCTCTGTTTTTCTATCGTCTAACAATTTAACTTACTTAATATTACTTTCTGTTGGTATTTATTTTTATCTAAAAATGAGTGGTTTTAAATTCGAATATCGTAAATGGCAAATTCG